ATGAATCAAATATGCACTTTTATTCATTTACAATAAACTCATAAAGTACATCATTCTGATTGAAGCTAAGGGCATACAAAACTGTCTAACACCAATATACTATAAATGCCAATAAATTCTCTCCTCTTGCTAAATTCCTCTGTAGCCAGGTCTAAACTAGGGAATTAAACCCTCAGAATTGGACATTATTTACCAAAGAGACCTAATGAAGTGGAATTGCAATTTCAATGAAAAAGGACATGAATTTATTAGGTGGACCACTTCATAAGTTGTAAATGCATACAACACATTCACACTTTATCATCCCTCTTCATGAAATTACCAATTCTCAAAATATTATGAAGAATTGTTGTCCACATGTTCAATCAGATATATGACAATCAAAGATTTTTTGAAACTCAATCTCCTCAGCCATTTCTCTATCTATCTTGGAATCTCTTTGAAGAACAATCCCACGTTTTCTTCTCTTCCACACTAGTGTTAACAATAGGGACACTATCACAAAAGTGTCTGTTCTTAAGGTAAAGACATGGTCTTTATTCTAGAGATGGTCTTTATTCTTAAGGTAAAGACATTCCGATAAGGCCATAACTGATTTTTCTTCTATTTTTCAACTTGTCCTTTCTTCTATCTTCTTCTAACATCTTCAACTTGATATTCCAACAGTATTTCAGGTCCTTCTGTTCAACAATGATGTAAACCTTTGCAAGCAATGATTTTATGAGGTACATCAGACCAGAAAAAGTAAGGCTTCGATAACAAATTTTCTAGCATATTTAATATCATGGTTGTTCAATTTCCCCTTGGTTCATTGCTAAGTGCATGGAAGCTAGCAACCATTTCTTTTGCAGTTTTGCTCCAACTTAATGTTTCTTGGATCCTTTGTCCAAGTTCCAGCAGCTTGAAATTGATTTTCCAATGGCAGAAAGGTCACCCTTCTGTTAAAGCATTATCATATCTCTGCAAATCGTTCTCATTAACTACTTATGAGGTAGCAGTCAAATAAAAAGTAGATTTTCAACAGAAAATTCTCTAGCAACTCCAGCTTCAATTAATGTTTGCATGCTCGCATTCATTCAGCATTAGTCGCCTGTTTTGGGGTTACATGACAAGATTATACTACATTTCTTCTAGCTCCAGTCTTGAGATTTCTTATGAGTTCAAGTTTGGGTAATATTGTTGTAAAGTGGGTTCTAAAAATTCTGCCCCAACTACACCTCCTCTTCCATTTTGGGAAACTGAAATATACCATGATAAACAATGCAAATCCATCCACAAATCAACTATTATGAGATCTATTAATCTTGTTCAATACCTAGATCACTCAAACAGACACCCTACAAATCTAAAGGACAGAATAACATGAAAAGAAGATTGCATGGATGCATGACCAACACATGGGAAAAGTATTAACTTTTTAAGATACCAAACAGAGGCAACAAAATTAGTTCTTCATGGCAAGATATTGGGATAAAAATCCATACAGTTATGAAGCATCTTCTCCAAACTAAGCATTGCATCTAAAATAAGTCACCGACCTATGATTAAGATGTCAAAAAGACAACACAATGTGATGAAATAGCATCCGGCTTTAGTCTAACAGAATTCCAACCTTAGAACAAAGAGAGGCATTTTCCTTTCCAACAGATTGTATCTTCTTCCTCAGAGCATCTACCCTACCCAAAACCTGTCAAACCATAAGCAATCACAGCATTATTGCATGGTAGTGGAATGCTACTAAATAAACTGCCTACAAATGTAGTAAAATGGTTATGATTTGATAAGGGACAACTTACACAAGGGGCAGAATTTGTATCTTATGCAACTTAATGCCAAGATGGAGGGACAAAGATGCACACAGATTACAGTCTGAGGTCAGAAGTGCACCTCTCATATGGGGACACCTCATTCAATTAAAATCCACAGTAAAGATATAACTGGAAAACAGACACACTAAAGCTCCTCCATGAAACTGAATCCAAGACATTTTCACTTGCAATAGACAAAATTAATTAAGGTATCAAATATGTGATAAGAAAGTGTCTTTGAGAATTTATGGAACTGCTTCATTTAATAGGAGGATAAGATTTTTCAGCATCCAGTGTTTTGACCTCTTTATTTGTACACCTTTTGCATTTGCAGTTCTCTTTTCCTTTATTAATTATTTATCTTTCCAATTTATTCTAAGTTAAAAGGCACATATTTCTGGACACTAACCCAATACATTTGTACACTATCATTGTTACAGCATCTTTGATCCATTGAGTAGAAAATAACCCTAAAACCATTGATAATCCAGAATTGAAAGTACTGCAGATCCTAGACACTAAGACACACAAAGCTTTCACAGTATGTAGTTTACCTCTTCATAATGTCCATCCCCAAGAGTTAACTCAATAAGTGATCGTTCATAAGGGTGCAGATACTTTTTGTTTGGGAAGTTTTCCATGTATGATCTCAAGGGAACAGTCAATTCCTGAACAATAAGACGGGAAATTTTAGATGCCTGTTTGGAGAGATTTGTTTGTACTCATTCAACTATAATGAAATGTTATAATCAACATATACTTTCATCAGTGCATCAAGTTGCTTTGCTCCTCTGTTTCTCTCTCTCTTTGCAATATTAACAATGCCTACGACACAGGTAAACTAAATCATGTCTTGCACCTGGTTCTATTGACCAAGCTTTAAGCTTAGCATATGTAGAGAAAAAATAGTTTCAATATTTTAATAAGATATTTGCTGTGATAAATTACCTTTTGTAGGAGAGACCCTCTTTGCCTTCCTCAGTGCTGAATAAAGAATATCAACAGATGGCATCACCATTGGTAGTTTTTGAAATGCACCAACGGGCTCAAGCTTTGTTGAAGTTTTGTCCTAGAATTGAAAAACATTAAGCAATCAATATTTCCTTTTATATAGCTTTTGGTGCAGACCCTTCAGCCACTATGAAGTATGAACTTATATGGTTAATGCTAAGGCAATTATATGTAGATTATGCAAAATAGCAAGCAATTAGGAATCATTCATGGTAATATGAGCTAACCTGTTGTGAAAACCTTTAACAATTGAATGCAGAATAGGATATATTGATCCAAAGCATTTGTTAGAGAAAAGTCAATAAGTGGTAGGTAGATTTTGATCAAGAACTGTATATTCATACATCTATATGCATAAACACGTATATGTTTAGAAAAGTGATTAAGAACCATTTTTAACCTTACAGAACTAGAAAGTTAAGCTGACTTCTCAATGTATATGCTCCAAGTATCAAACAGAAAAAATGGAGAAAAAAAGTTTCGGGAATAACCACATTTTGGGCATTTAGATGAAATCCTCCTGCAGTTCAGAATTTTTTTCTGAATCACTAGGCTCCACAGTTAGTGCAGTATGAGCTATGTGAAATGTAAAAATGTGATATGTGCTTGTATAGTTAGAAAGTTGGGGGAAACAATACAACCTAACTACATCATTTTTGAATACTAAACATCCTCGAAGAATTTAAATGTTATGCAATAAAAAAGAGCATTTTTGACAAGTCAGTGCACATTGAATCCTGTTGAGAAATTGAAGCTGCATTTCCGGGTAGCACCTTGTTTAGTTGAAATTTGCAGTCAAAGACCAGAATTAGCAACAGACAGCACACTACCAACAGAAACTATAATCTCGGTACAGGGAAAAAAAAAAAAAAAACAGGAACAATCATGGTTGGAGGAGATACCTGTGAACTAGCTTCTTGTTTAGTTCGGATAATGGGAACGTTGCTTCCATTTGCAATTTCACATGTGGTGGTCTGCATTTCCCTTCTAAGGCACAGTCTGGTAGATATTTCTATTCCAGCCATAAAAAATGAACCTGCATTATCTATGAAAATTACCAGAACAAAGAAGTTAGTAAGCATGGGAGAAAATCCACCAGGTTAAGATTACTTGTCAGTGTCGCTAACAAAACCAGATAATACCAAAACTGAAAAAAGTTGAGAAGGGAGAGAGAGAGATAGATACTACTTACGAGTACATGACCAAAAATGAATAGGACCCCATCAAAATTAAAAAAAAAAAATCAAAAAAATATATTTAAGACGAAAAGAAGAGCTACATCTGATTGGTCCATCAAACGAATGGTATGAAGTGAAAATTGAAATTTCATAGCAAATGAAGAACCAATATGGGTATTTGAACAGAACCCGTATAAAATTCCACGAAGAAATAAGATATGAAAGCGAGAGAGAACTGAAATTTACTTCCCATCAAATGGGTACTTGATAGAACGACGGAAATTGATGGATATGGTGGTTTTTCATGGGATTTTTTTTAAGGTAAACTGAGCTCACTTCCATAAAAAACCAAATCAATCTATATAAGGATGAGAAAGAACCTTTGGAAAGCTTCGAGCTTCTCTGCAGAAGCTTGGTAGAAGGAATATGCCATAGCTGAAAGAGAGTGTATGCCCCGCACATCGTCAATCAGTGTATCTCTAGACTCTAGGCCTGTCCTTAATCCCCTCTTTTTGGGATAAACGGGGTGCTGTGCAGTGTGTACTCACAGAGAAGAGGAGGAGAAAAATCCACCTTCGCTTAAGTTTTTATTTTCCTTTGTTTGGTTTGAAAGAGAAGGTTGGGAAGAGAAGGGAAAGGCAGTCAAGGTAATCAGGTACTCAGGTTTCTGGCAAAAAACTAAAACGGCTGAAACGGATCGAAATACCGAATGAAAATGGATATTGATCGATCCATATTTGATAAGTTCAGTTGTAGCCAGATTGGAGCATTCTCCCAGTACCAAAAAAACGTTAGAGATTTTAGCCTCTTGGGCTACCATATAAGCAATTGTAGTCATTTCCCTATGTCTATAATATTTATTTACAGTGATAGTCATTGCACAAGTTTTTAATTCTTTGACGATAATGCTGTAGATGCCTATCAAAAAATTCAAAGCAGCCATCCAGAGCGTCCAATAGAGCTTTTGAATCTGTGAAGATAGTAACACCGGTCCAACCATTCCTTTACGCAAAAAACAGACTTTGAATTTGAACCGAGTGGAATCGATCATATGGGTTCCAATCGAGTTCACATAATCACATTATGATGAGATATTGAATTAACTCGAATAACTCAAGCCCGGTCTATCTTGGTGTGTTTCAGCCTTGTACTTCGCAAGAAATAACGCCATCTTTCAAAATAAGAACAAAGATGTCTCCTGGATTCTAAGGCAATTCCAAATTAGTTCTCAAGTTCTGAATATCATTGAAGATCACGAAAACTAGGATTCTAGTTTTATATCTGGCTCTAGGCAAGAGTACAAATGAATTAATTTTTAATGATGGTGCTTTCAGTCAGTTAAATAATGGATCCTATGGTCTAGTAGTCCTGGATAACAATCGGAATTTTCTTTGTCCTACTGGTAATATAAGCTTAATGTGTTGCGATGCGGGAAAGTTTGCTTTTAGCGAAATCGATCCATTGTTCCAGCCTTTTTATTAAAACTGATGCAAAGACTTTAGTGGATGCTCTGAATGGACAAAAACCGATCTTTTTCAGATATGATATCTTTTACATAGCATAGTCGAACCCATTAATTTTATGTAAGTATTAGCTAATAGGGTGGTCCAATAGGCCAAACACTCAGAAATATTTTTGGTAGTAGGAAAATTTACCCAATTGGTTGGACTTTGGTGGCTTTAGTTACGTTTAATTAAATTTCTCTTTATCTATCTATCTATCTATCTATCTATCTATCTATCTATCTTTCTATCTATATATTGTTGATTTTTGGATTGATCGAGGACAACAAGGTAATTTTGCTCCCGAGCTTCGGTAGGAATGGCCGAGGGCTTCGAAGGTTCAAAGGAAGGGAAGTCAAGGCCGATGACTATTGTCCGAGGTGGAAAGTCTTCTTCGGGTGTTGGAGTTGAAGGCTGGTACCGAATGCTACGTGCGAGAGGTCCAAAGGAGGTCCTGCAAGGACAAAGGTGTCAGAGGCCTCGGGTGGGTACTCGAGGCGAGGACTTCGACGATCAAGTCAGTACGAGCATAAGGAGAGCCCGAAGTCTGGAGCCGAGGGGTCCAGGCGAGGACTTAGATAACACGTAAGTTCTCTAGAGGGCAGTACCGTTTGGAGGTTACTCAAGTTCTAGAGGAAGTTTTGAGAGTCTAGCCCTTTACCTTGTGAGGGTGCTTCATATTTATAGTCAGAGTCGCTTGGGAGTAGTTGGGCCTGGATGGTCCAAATACAAGTCGTACGAGGGCCTAGCAAGATCGTTTGCCAGAGCCATGCAGTGCCCTAAGTTGGGTCCGTCCGGTCTGCGCTTGAGCCCTGAGTGTCCTTACTGTATGCTCAGGCCAGCGCCCTCTGGTTGGACACGCGTTAGCCCCTTACCGGTCAACCAAATGTGCCTACATCACTTGCCCCCCACTCCTGAGGCTGAGGTGGGGGTAAGGCTTCGGCTTCGGCCGAAGGGAGTGTCGATATTAGTAGGTGCCCTTGGCCCTTGCTTAGTGGAGCATACCCTGCAATGGTGTCGCCTTCGTCTCGCTTCTGCACCCACTTGGTTGTTAATTCATGGAGAAGGGAAGTTGTGGATGCCTAAGCTTTGGCCAGGTAGCCTGAGGCGAAGGGGGCTCGGCGGAACCGACCCCATACTTTCTACTTGTGTGGTGACAATTTGGGGCCGTGTGTGGCACGGGATCGTGTTTGATACGAGCTTGGTGTGAGGAGAGCCTTCCATATGGGGGACCGTCGCCTTCGAGTAGACCGGTTTGTGCATCCGCCTAGCCCGTCCATGCAGACTGGTGGGTGGCAACGAGTAGACCTACTGGGTCGCCCGGCGTCGTTTCGTCTCCCCGAGGTTGGGCGTTGGTTGTCAAATGTTGTTTCGTCTTCTCGAGGCTAGGCGTTAGTCAAGTGTCGTTTCGTCTTTCGAGGTTGAGCAATAGGTGTCGCATCCTGGATGGGCAGCGGAGGTGGGAAACTTGCAGCTATCGAATTGGGCAAGATCTGAGTCGTTCGTTTTCCTATAAATAGGGAGCTTAGTCGCAGTCCTCCCATCATTTGTCTCTAGGCTCCCTGGTTATTGAGTGAACAGCTCCCAAACCTTGAATCCTTCAATAATTTCATCCTCCTCCTTTCCGTTCTCCACTTTTAGGTAATTCCTTGCAATTTTTTCTTAGACTGGGTCCCCTAACTGTCGTTCCCTTTCAGCAGGAGGTAGTGGTGCTGAGGGAAAGAGTAACCTCCGGGGGTGTCGAGGGCAGTCGCTGAGGCGGTGACTCTCCTCGTGAGGGTGCTGCATCAGCATCCTCGAGGGAGCCTGAGGGGTCCCCTCAGGCCGAGGGGGAGGGGGTTCCGGAGACCGTCCTAGGACCTATACATGGGAGCATTGCCCGAAGGGTGGCTATAGCTAACATCCCCCGCTCGGAATTTGATAGCTCCCTAGAGGTAGACCAGGTTAGGTCCTTAGCTAGGAGGTTCCACATACCTCGGTCGTACACACTTAGGGTTCCTGGTGTCGGTGAGCGGCCGTGGACCCCTGACGAGGGGGAAATCTACGTGTACCAGCCTTTTTTGGAGTCTGGCCTTAGGTTTCCCCTCCATCCTTTGATTTCTGAGTTAATGGAGTGGTACGGTATCACTATCATCCAACTCATCCCCATCGCCCTTAGGGCCATGATAGCTATGCTGGTGTGGGCTTGACTTCGAGATGTGGAGTTGACCTCGAAGAAGTTCCAAGCCGTTTTCGTGCCTTGGAAGCATGCTTCTAAGGCTAACATGTACTACTTCCAACCTCGGAGGGCAAAACCCGTGCACAAACCTTCGTCCGTCCACGGTTGGAAGGAGAAGTTCTTCTATGTCTCTTGTCCCGAACGTTGGAGGTTCAGGTCGAGTTGGGGAGAGGCCAACATAGTTGTCAATAGGTGTCCACCTCCGCTCTAGGACAAGAAGGCCACTGACGTAGCTCACCTGCTCATGATAGGGACAATCCGAACCAAGCCATTGGTGGAGGAGGAGGTTTCGTTAGTGTTCATAGGGCTTAGCCCTGCCCCCTCGGTAGGAGGGACCCTATATTCTCTTAACACGTTTTCCTCGTCCTCGTTCTGTAATACTTATCCACTTTCTTTTGCTTGTAGAGGCGCCAATGGATACGAAGTAGACATTGATAGAGCGTGCTTGTGCCATGCAGAAGGGGCAGACGAACCAAAAGATAGGCTCCCAAACGCCTTAGAGGGGCGAGTGGGCGCCTGGCCTCGCCAAGGGGGCATCTTCACAGTAGGTCCCCGCCAAGGGGGCGGTTCCAAGGTCCCTGCCAAGGGGACCGCTTCACAAGTTCTGGCTAAGGGGATAATTTCGTAGGTCTCAGCTAAGGGAACATCCACACAGGTTCCTGCCCAAGCGAGGCAGTCGACCGAGGGGGCCCCAAAGCCGAAGGAAGCCACAAAGGAGCTTGCCAAGGGGGCCAAGGCGGGTAAGAAGAGGCCTACCTAGGAGGCCCCAAAGCCGAAGGAAGATGAAAACAAGCATGCCAAGGGGGCCAAGGCGGGTAAGAAGAGTTCTGCCGAGGAGGCCCTCCGAGGATAGCCACCGAAGAAGGTGGCCCCAGGTGAGTGTCCTGCCAGGGACGCCATGACGAGGGAGCCTCCCACCAAGGAACACCACATGGGGCCCTCATTTGCCCCCACCTCTACACAAGAGTCTGCCAGAGGGGCCGAGCTCTCATCTAAGGTCTTCTGCCCTCGGTGGTCGGTCCATGAGGGGGACTCCATCACAGAAGAAGGGGTTGGTCAGGCCCTAGTGAGCGGGGCGATTCTCTTGAGGGATCGCTTTCGAATGATGAATAGCTTGCCATGAGCGATCTATGACGATGGGCTACAACACTTGGTCGAGGTAAGTTCCTGCATTGACTATGGCGTTCCTTTGTTTTTCTCTGTTGTAACTTTTGCTGACGATCCTCACTGTAGGCCTACCTTCACTTTGTCAAGTTGGGCGATAGGATGAGCCTCAACTTGGCCCGTTTGGAGAAACTTGAGAAGGAGAAGGAGAAGCTCTAGAAGATTGTCACCGTTGCCGAGAAGAAGCTCGCCAAGTTCAGGGCGGGCCACAAGGATGAGCAAGTGCTTCGGCTAAAATCCGAGGAGAAGCTAAAGGAGGCATAGAGGGACCTCTCCAAGGAACAGGAAGAGTGGGTTCGTCTCGAGAGCATCATCTCTGAGGCTCAGCAGCGGGTGTCCAAGGCGGAGAGAAAGGCAGCCAAGGCGGCAGAGTGGGCCACTGAAGCTGAAGGGAAGACCGTTGAGGCGCTCAAGCGAGTAGCCGAGGCCGAGAAGAAAGTGGCTGAGGCTGAAGGGAAGACTATTGAGGTGCTGAGGAGGACCGAGGTGGCGGAGAAGTGGGTGGAGGAGCTCGCCAAATATGCATCTGGGATGTACCTGGACGGGATCGAGGACACCAAGAAGGTCCTCAAGGAGATGTTGCCGGACTTTGATGTCGAGTCGCTGAAGGTGATCCCGGATACTCCCAAGGAGGCTAATGGAGCCCCTCACCCGGTAGGTGGCGAGGCTTAATGGAGTTTTGTTCCTTTTTCTCTTTTTTCTTTCTGCTTTGATGTACATGTGATCGGCCTGAGGGGTTGCCAAACTTTTTGTAAAGGCTAAAATTTTGACGAAGTGTAATGACAAACCGAGCATTGTTTTTTGCATACTTTGTCTCTTTTTGTTTTTTGTGCAATGTGTTCTCCCTTTCTTTCTTCTCTTTTCTTTTTCTTTTATCGAGGGGTCCTTGC